GGGTGGTGCGGGCGAACAGCCTCTGTTGCAGCCTTTCATCTTTGAGACCGCAGACGAGACGGTCTCTGAGGGCTTCCTCCACGTTGTGGAAATTACATGGCCGTGCGGCTTTGCGAAGGGCCGCCACGAAATCTGCGATGGTCTCGCCTCCGGCCTGGTTCCGCTTGTAAAAAGCGTGCCGGCAGGCGGTCTCCGACGGTTGTGGAGAATAGTGAGCCTTCAGCTTCTCCGTGATGTCAGCGTAGGTGACAGTCTTTATATCAGTTGGGGCCACCAACGACCTGGCTATGTCGAAGGTCCCCTTCCCGCAGGAACTCAGGAGGCATGCTCGTTTCTTCGCCTCATCGGTGATGTCGTGGGTCTCCAGATGGAACTCAAACCTGGACAGGTAGGAGTCCCAGTCTTCGGAGGAGGGTTCGAAGCAAGGAGTCCCAGTCTTCTGAGGAGGGTTCGAAGCACTCGAACTTCTGGCTTCCAGCCATCGGGGGAGACTTGGGCACCGGAGCTGGTGGCGCCTCCGCCGGATCGGCTGCTGTGCTCTGCTCGCTTTCTTCCGAGTCCGAAGTGTGGATGTCCGCAGGGCTGCCTACCTGCTCTAACATCCCACCTTCGTCGCCAATTGTTAGATCGCGCTAACAAAGGACTCGTAGAGTGATTCAGCAAGTGATTCAGCTTTATTTAGAAGTAACGAACAAGCACTAACTCAGTAAGAAACCAGAACAGAAAACAGTGGGAGCTTATGCTCCTTTTAAACATAACCGGGCTAATGTAGCCACGCCTATTTACAAATAACAACCAATGAGATTGCTAGAATAAAGACCAATGGGAGTCTTTCCCTCCTAGGGAATGGTATCGTTCTGATTGGTCGCTGTTACGAAGCGACCAATAGGAAGTTCGCTTAGAGGAGCCCTGGTCTGGCTCGAAGCTTAACATGGGAGTCCTATGAGGTGATTCATGTAATCATTTCAATACATTACAATTGTTGCTTCCTCGTAAAAGGAAGTCCTGCTTTTTTTCACATGACAGATTCACAGAGAGTCAGAGCAATTGACCACCACCACACCTCTAAATCCAGCCAACCTAGCAGTTCGAAAGCAAGAAATTGAAAGTAGATAAATAGGTACCACTTCGGTGGGAAGGTAACAGCGTTCCGTGTGCCTTGGTGTTTAGTCATGCCGGCCACATGACCACGGAAACGTCTTTGGACAGCGCTGGCTCTTTGGCTTTGAAACGGAGATGAGCACCGCAACCCTAGAGTCGGATTCGACTGGCTTTCGAGCAAGGGAACCTTTACCTTTACCTTACCCCTCTAAAAGCTTCTGCCATGGAAGTTGTGAGCCGTGCTTGAAAATCATGATTATTCACGAAACGCTTAATGTTGCGCTAAATGAACGCTAACAAACATCTACCTCATTCCTTCCAAAAGATAGCTCTTTAGAATACAGGCATTTAATTTCTGGAGTTCTTCAATATACGTGTTGCTTCCTCGTAAAAGGAAGTCCTGTTTTTTTCACATGACAGATTCACAGAGAGTCAGAGCAATTGACCACCACCACCCCTCTAAAAGCTTCTGCCATGGAGGTTGTGAGCCACACATAGAGAGACAGTCAACGGCTTTGAGATCAGCTCCAACTCATAGAGAGCTGTTGCCAAACCAGCTGTTTATCCCCATAGTTCAGCAGAAAAGAGTGGGGAAAATTCCTGTGCCTGATTATCTGGGCTCCTAAAAAAAGATGCTAGTCTCTTGGTATTTACATCTTTCCTTGTGAATGCACAGGGCTGGCTTATGCAGAATCAAAACATCGTTTTATCAAGATCAGGATTGTCTACTCTACTGGCAGCAGTTCTACAGGGTCTCTGGCTGTGACCTTTCACATCACTTACTAGTTGATCCTTCTAATGGGGATCGAATTTGGGGTATTCTGCATGCAAGGCTCTGTCCCTTCCCCTTTGTGGCTGGATAACCACACTTCTGGTAACATGGGGGTGCGGCCTAATGTGCTAATGAGCTGTGCTGTCATGGGTGTGGCCCAATATCCTAATGAGTTTCTGCTGTTGGGTGTGGCCTATTATGCTAATGAGTTCCTGCTGGGCTTTTTCTACAAAAAGAGCCCTGGTTCTGCATGCAAGGCTCTGCCACTGAGCCGTGGTCCCTTCCCCTTGTAGAACAGGGGAGGGGGAATCATAGAATGTTAGAGTTGGAAGGGATCTTGCAGGTCATCTAGTCCAACCCCCTGCACTCTGCAGGAGCACAGCCAAAAGATAGCCAAAAGATGCAGATCACTGGGTTCGCCATCTTCAGTTTTACTTCTTCCCCATTCCAGACAATGTAGATTCTAGTTCGGTTGCCAACTTTTTGGGGTGGGTGGGAATGTACCACAAACCCAAAACTCAAGGTCATTGCATTTCACTGTATCCTACAAAACGAATGTACCACTCCTGGCTTAGCACGTATCATGTGCCTGGGTATGGTTTTGCCTCTGGTGCAATGCAAGTGTGAATGTTAAATTCACAAACAAAACATAGCAGATAAATTGTTCGTGTCACTTCAAAACACCATTCCGTTCCACTGAACTCAGGATCCACCAGCCACTGTCTGTCAATGAATGCTGAAGCACTAAGAGAGTGTTCAAGGTCTCTGTCTCCAACCCACCTGGGAGCCTCAGGCTACCAACCTGGTCTCTTACCTCCATTTTATCCTCATGATAACATTCTTGAGATGTAGGTTAGACTAAGACAAAATCACTGGTTTAAGGACACCCAGGGTGCAGTCAGATGGCGTGCTGAGAGCAGTTTAAATTGCTCGGGCCCTGATGCAGTTTTTTTTTAACCTGGAGAATCGCGATCACACTCACCTCGTTCTGGATTGCTGTGCAGCCACATCACTCCCTGCTGTCCACACGCAGGAGCATTCGTCGGTGTTGTTTCTCTCTCTCTCTCTCTCTCTCAGTTTGGGCATGTGCACAGGCAGCCATCGGTAGAACTAAAATTTTTGCACATGCGCAGAACAGCGATTTCCACTTCAAACCGACTGCTGTAACACTTCCCTTTAAACTTTAGAACACTTCCCTTTAAATGTTTACCCCAAAAATGGCCTCCATGAGATCCCGAACTTGTCTAAAGGCTAAAACTAGGCACCATTTAAACATTGTTTTTAATAACGCGGTGGCGGACCTCTGCCTATGCGCACACCGCCAAGGCTTTAAAAAAATGGTGGGCGAAAAGCGGAAGCCTCAGGCAGCTTTTGAGCAGAGAGGGGGTTTAAACCGGAAGTGGCTCGACCCCGCAGGAGCAATCAGACATCAGAAAAGTGCAGATGGAACCGGAGAATCAGGAAAACACCACTTGGGGACCTGGTATCAAAATACTCCGGGTTAAAGCTGTTTTGAGCCGGAAAGCAACGGCTGGGGACGGGAGGCAGATGTTGACTGTGTGATCGCGCAGATAAAATCCGTTGCTGAGGTGGGCCGAAAGCAGGCTAAACAGCTCGTCTGAACGCACCCCCAGAGTAAGAAATTCTGTTGCCTGGGGTGCCAACAGAGCAGGATAAAAGTGTTCCGGCCTTTTAATAGAGGCTTAATGCATGGCAATGGTCAGCTGAAATTTTTCATGGCATGGAAGGAAATAACATCCCATCCAGAACCTATTAAAAGGACAGGATACTTTTCTCCAGGCCTGTCAGCAGGCCTATACATGGCTAAGCCGTAGGGCGGCCAGGTCCAAGTTGGGAAACTCCTGGAGATTTGGAGATGGAGGCCGGGGAGGAAAGGGTCCTCAGTGGGGTGCAGTGCCATAGAGTCCACCCCCCCCCCCAAAGCATCCATTTTCTCCAGGGGAACTGGCCTCTGCAGTGTGGAGATGAGCTGTAATTCCAGGGAATCCCCAGGTCCCCCTTGGAGGCCGGCAACACTACTGAGCAGGAATCTGAGCTCATGTCTCCTCCTTGCTGGTCCAACACTCTAACCAATGCACACCACTGCCTTCCATCAGATCAGATCAGGGAATGGCAGAAATCCTACAGGGGTCACTCTTCCCAGCCCGGAAAAAAAGTGATGGAAGAAGAGGAGACTGGATTTATACCCCGCTCTTCACTACCCAAAGGAGTCTCAGAGCGGCTTACAATCTCCTTTCCCTTTCCCTCCCCACAACAGACACCCTGCGAGGTAGGTGGGGCTGAGTGAGCTTTCTTGAGGGCTGCCCTTCAAAGAACAGCTGAGAGAATTTGTGACTGACCCAAGGTCACACCAGCAACTGCATGTAGAGGGGTGGGGAATCAAACCCGGTTCTTCCACGCTCCTACCCACTACACCAAACTGGTGTAGCTGCACCTGATGACTTTATGCTTGGAACCAGGGTTGCCAACTCTGGGTTGGGAAATACCTGGAGATTTGGGGGGTGGAGCCTGAGGAGGGTGGGGGTTTGTGGACGGGAAGGACTTCAATGGGTTATAATGCCCCAGAGTCCACCTTCCAAGGTGGCCATCTTTTGCAGGTGAACTGATGTCCGTTGCCGGGAGATCCGTTTTAATAGCGGGAGTCGAGAGATCTCCAGCCACCCCCTGGAGGTTGGCAACCCTAGCCTGGAACAAGGACCGTTGATAAACATTCACTTCTTTCCCCGCAAGCTAAATAATAAAAGGCACTCGGAAGAGTCATATCACAACTGCGGGGGCGGGCTTGCCGGTTTGCTCCGAGAAGCCACAAAGCAGAACACGAAAGTGCCATTTTGGAAAACCTAAACCGGAGCCTTTTGTTCCGCGCCCTCCCTCCCCCACCAGAAAAAAGAAAAAAGAGCGGGGGGGGGGGGGGGGGCGAGAGCCTTGCCCTTGAGTGATAACAGTCGCGGCCAATCGGCAGGCGAGGCGGTGAGGCGGCGCCTCCGACCAGCTACGGCGGTTGGGTTTCCACGGCAACCGCAGGGGGAAAGCGGCTCGGGCGGGCGGGAAGCGTGTCCTTGCCGGGAGAAGGGCAGCAGCGGCGGTGACGGGGCGAGGTGCCGATAGGCGGCAAAATGGCCGGCATCCGGGTCTATTACACCAGCGTTACGGGGTCTAGAGAGGTGAGGGCGGAGGAACAGGGCCACGTAAAGGGGGGGGGGGGGACACAAAGGTGCCTCCTCGCCCTCCGCCTCTCTCTTGCAAGAAGAGGAAAGTGACCCGCGGCCAAATACAGAGGCGGGAGTTGGAGGGTCGGGAGCTAGGCTTGCCAACCTCCAGGCGGCCCCTGGAGATCTCCCGTTCTGACAGGGCCAAGATCCGTTCCCCTGGGGGGGAAATCCAATCACGCCTGCTATTGCAATCAATGTTCCCTCTAAGCTGTGGAGTCTTGTGAGCAAGAAATCTACTTTGTGGGCTACTGGCATTAAAGTTGTGAGCGAGTGATTTGGCTGCTGCATCAATTAGTTTGCCCTGGAGCCGTCCTTCCTGAGCTGAGACAAAAATTTGTGAGCTGGAGGCTAAAAAACTGTGTGCCAGCTCACACTAACTCAGCTTAGAGGGAACACTGATTGCAATTCACCTGCTGGTGTCATTTGTCTGCTAGTGTCATTTCGGCATCTGAAATCACTCCGCTTTCCAATAAATAGGACAGAGGGACTCCCGTTCTAGCTGTATCTGAAGACGGGAGCAGTGACTCAGCAAAGCTCCTACCCTCCCACAGGTTCTGTTAGTCTTTAAAGTCACACTACTGGACTTTAAAGACTTTAAAGTCACACTACTTTCTACTACCTGGAGGAAATGGCTGCTGTAGAGAGTGGATTATACACTGGTGAGGCCCCGCCCCTTCCCAAACCTCCTCCTCCCCCGGCTCCACCCCCAAATCTCCAGGTATGTCCCGAGGGGGTGTGGGTAATCCTACAATTTGGGACAGATCCCCGTTTTACTCAGGGGCTGGCACAACTTCTCAGCCTAGTGGGTTGTCATGAAGATAGTATGGCCAGCCTCAAGTTCGTTCTCCCACAATATGTCTCCTAGACCAGGCTTGCCAGCTCTCCGGTGGGAAATACCTGGAGATTTGGGAGGGTGAAGCCTGAGGACGGTGGAGTTTGGGGAGGAGGGGGACTTCGGGGGGGGGTAACACTTTGGGGAGAAGGGGGGGGGGGAGATTGAAAGGATGGCATAGGGCGGCTAACCCAAACCTACCCCCAGCAACTATTAACACATTCAAACAAGGCTGGGGATACATTAACAGGAGGAGGGAGAGAGAGACAGAGAGACTCTAGTGGTGCTTTAAAGAGGCAGACATGCCATGCTATTTTATGCATATTTTTTTAGACGCAAGCCTTACTAAATAGGGGAGCTGCGGTGGCTCAAGTGGTTAAGATGCTGAACTGCAGGCTGTGGAAGGTCAGTAGTTCAGCAGTTCGAGACCCGAGTGTGCCGCATGACGGAGTGAGCTCCCGTCTCTAGTTCCAGCTCCTGCCAACCTAGCAGTTCGAAAGCAAGAAATTGCAAGTAGATAAATAGGTACCGCTTCAGTGGGAACAGCGTTCCGTGCGCCTTGGTGTTTAGTCATGCCGGCCACATGACCACAGAAACGTCTTCGGACAGCGCTAGCTCTTCGGCTTGGAAACGGAGATGAGCACCGCAACCCTAGAGTCGGATTCGACTGGCTTTCGAGCAAGGGAACCTTTACCTTTACCTTTTTACTAAATAGGACTTACCGCTTACCCACAAAAAGAGAGAGAGGACATATCCACAAATCACCGAGTCGCCGTGTTAGTCTGTAGCAGCAGAATAAAACATCTCCAGTGGCACCTGGAAGACTAACATTTATTGCACGAGACGCTTTTGTGAGTCAGAGCTCTGCTGCCGTAAGTGTTCATCTTAAAAGTGCTACTGGACCCCTTGTTTTCATTTAACATGGTTGGGTATTGCAGTATCGTTGCACTAAAGCCAACATGGTGTAGCGCTCATGGTGCCATGGAAGCTCACTGGGTGACCATGGGCCAGGCATACTCTCTCGGCCTAATCTACCTCACAAGGGTTGTTGTGAGGATAAAATGGAGGAGAGGAGAACAATGTTAAGTTGCTTTGGGTTCCCACTAGGAAGAAAGAACTCCTGGGCACTCAAGGAAATTGCCGAGCAGTTGGGTTAGTACGGATAAAAGGAAGTCCTTCTTCACCCAAAGAGTTATTAATACATGGAATTCACTGCCACAGGAGGTGGTGGCGACTACAAGCATGGACGGCTTCAAGAGGGAATTAGATAACATATGGAGCAGAGGTCCATCAGTGGCTATTAGCCACAAGGTATAGATAGGAACTCTGGGGCAAGTGGGCTTCTAGTGTCCTGGCCCCACTGCTGGACCTCCTGATGGCACCTGGTAATTTTGGCCACTGTGTGACAGAGTGTTGGAGTGGATGGGCCATTGGCTTGATCCAACTTTGGCTTCTCTTATGTTCTTAAAGGCAGAGTAAAAAATGAAGTAAATAAATACCTAAGACCACTACATACGATGTACTAGTTTCCGGAAAACGCGGGGCAAGGGCGGGCGTCTGATCACATTTCCGCTGGAAACCCGTGGCATCCGGCGCCCGTCCATGTCCCCTTGCAAACTGGACTTTTTAAAAGTCCCCACAGGATGCGCACAAACGATCATGCACATGTGCAAACTTCGGTGTGACAAACAAAAAATCCCGTTTGCCACAGAAGCGGCGCGGCATGATTGCCGGTGTGAACGCGCCATGCTGCTTCTTTGCCGTGCTGCAGACTAGCCGTCTGATTGGCACCTAACGCCTAACCATGGGACCTCGACAGGACGTCTAATCGGGCTGCCTCGCATTACTTTGTTCCAGGGCAAAAAGCCACGCTTCCCCCCCACCCCCCGCATTTTCTGGCCCGTGTGACCGGGGCCTAAATACAGCAATTGTTTGCAATGATCCAGTTGCAAATGATTGCTATAGAAGAAGATAAGAGATTGGATTTATACCCTGCCTTTCACTAGTAACAGCGTTCCGTGCGCCTTGGTGTTTAGTCATGCCGGCCACATGACCACGGAAACGTCTTCAGACAGCGCTGGCTCTTCGGCTTTGAAACGGAGATGAGCACCGCAACCCTAGAGTCAGATTCGACTGGCTTCTGAGCAAGGGAACCTTTACCTTTCACTACCCAAAGGAGTCTCTGAGTGGCTTAAAATCCCTTCCCCTCCCCACAACAGATACTCTGTGAGGTAGGTGGGGCTGAGAGAGCTCTCTCAAGAACTGCCCTTGAGAGAACAGCTCTGAGAGAACTCATAACTGACCCAAGGTCACACCAGCAGCTGCATGTGGAGGAGTGGGGAATCAAACCCGGTTCTCCCAGATTAGAGTCCATGCTCCTAATCACTACACCAAACTGGCTCTCTATAGCCCTGAGTGTGTGTGCGATACTAACATTAGGGAGGCTCTGCTTTCTCCAGGAACTGCTGTTATAAGTGGCCGCTGTGTGTACATTGTACACATTAGAGGTTTACATAGAAATGTCCCAGACTGGACCTTTCTATTTTATGGGGTTTTTTGCCCAATTGTATGAGCGCCTGAAGCTGCCCAATACCAGACCGTTGGTCCATCTAGTGTTGCATAAGACCGCCAAAATCTCTCTGAGGTCTCAGCCAGAGACATCTTTCCCCAGTGGCAGTTAGCTCTTTTTACTGGAGATACTAGCAAATGAACCTTTGGATCTTCTGTGTGCAAAGAATAGGCTTTGCCATGAAATCACAGCCAGCTGCTCCTGTGTACTGAAACCCTGGAGTAAATCTGTTAAGACAGACCTATATTCCACAACGCCTCTGGACATTTTGATTTTGGATTTTTTTTAAAAAGGTCTTCATACATATGCATATAAAACCTGGCCACCTCATCTGATAGTGAAAGGACTGGTTCCTTCTCAAGGAATAACAAGCACACAGGTAACACGGCTAAGTTAGATAAACACAGAAAACACCGTGTTGAAATAATAAACACAATATTCACATGTACTTATAGCTAAATATATTTGCTTTTTATACACAACATCGACTCTAGTGTATTGTAAACACTTTCAACCTACAACATCACGTTTCAAACACTTTCAAACTAAGTTATATAACATGAAGAGTCCAACTGTCTTCTTCCTGATGGAGGATAAATACCAATGTACAGTTATTTATACTGAACAATGCAGCAACCTATTGTACATTTCCCAAGTGATGATCCATCAGGTAAAGCTAGCAGGCAGCTTGTATTTCTCACTGTGATGATTCAGCTTAGCAAGCAAGCCTAGTAGATGTATTTCCCCATGAGGTGATTCAGCTAGCAAGCAGGCCTAGCAACACGCCTCCTGGGCATAACCTGCGTGTTTTGAACAAATCTTCAGGCATAAATTTTTCTGGAACCACAGCTCTTGAATCTACCCATGCATAAGTCAAACAATGTAAACATGGCTGTTCTGGTTCTCCATCAGGAAGAAGACAGTTGGACTCTTCATGTTATATAACTTAGTTTGAAAGTGTTTGAAATGTGATGTGGTCGTTTGAAAGTGTTTACAATACACTAGAGTTGATGTTGTGTATAAAAAGCAAATATATTTAGCTATAAGTACATGTGAACATTGTGTTTATTATTTCAACACGGTGTTTTCTGTGTTTATCCTTCTCGAGGAAGCCTGCTTTTCTCTTTCCTCCACTTGGCATCACCCCAAACTCACTCAACCAAAAGCCATATAAAGAAAACACACCCTCAATACACAGAGAGGGAGATCCACTCTGGAGGAGGACACAGGTGAGGAAAGTAAACCCCAAAGCCTCAGGAGGGTGAAAAAATTACCAACTACTCTCAACAAAACAGCAACCTTATGAGGCTGTAGGATTTTTTCCCCATTTTGTACATAAAGAGGGGTGATGGTGGGAGAAGTTTTCAAGCCCGCCTGGAAGGCCTTCTCTCAAAGAGGAGCATTTGTTTGCCCAGGTGAAGCAGAGGCAGCTGGAAGTCCTTCGCATTCTGGATGGAAACCACATGAAGTACGAGTTAGTTGACGTGTCCATCAGCGAACGTTTGCTTCAAGAAATGAGGGACAAAGCCGGCAACCCTAACGCGATACCACCGCAGATCTTTAACGGGGAGCAATATTGTGGGGTAAGAAGTCAGTTGTTTTTAGAAAAGTGAGATCTAGTAGTGGAGCAATCTTGCCTGGATGCCAGTACTGTCGTTATCAGGTTTGGCCAAAGGTCCGTGTGCCACAGCAACCTTGGCCACATCGGTTCCCATCAACTAGCCAGACAGCACCGCTTACTGTAGTGCAGGAGGAGCCACCGTCAGACAGTGTAAGACCTATCAGAGCACCGAATCAGGGGAGCTGGTCCTGGCGAAGCCCACGTCTTTCTAAAATGTGGTCTGTGACAAATTAACAGTTGCTATTTCAGGGTTGTCTGGCCAGGACAGCATCTCTGAAACTCTTACGTTATCGGAACAATACTATATTAAAAATACTGTTCCCTCTCATGAATGAAAATATTTATAGGTTGCCTTTCCCTTTGTGGTTCAAGGCCATTTACGATCTGTAATTAAAACAACAGTGAGATTAATTAAAAATGAATTAAAATCCCGCCCCGGGTGCCTGTAGCTTATATATTAAATGCTGTAACAAATAAAACGGCCTTGCACTGCCTCCTGAAAACCTCCAAGGTGCAGTCCCTCCTTGGGGAGTGCATTCCATGCACTGGGAGCCGCTGCAGAGAAGGAACAGGCCAGTACATGCCAAGCTGGCAACCTTAGGTGAGTGGACGACCAGAAGATGGCAACCAGTCCACCGTAATGGTGTCATGGGGACACACGGAGCGAGATGGTCTTTCAGGTACTCAGCCCTGAAGGCTTTCAAGATTCTAACCAGCTCTTTGAATCGAACTCAGAAATGACCTGGCAGCCGATGTAAGGCGAGATGTATTCCCATCAGCTAACGCCTGCTAATAATTGGGTGGTTGCATTCTGGATCAGTTGAAATGTCCTTGTTTGTCTTCAGGGAAAAGCCCATGCGTTAACAGTAGTTCTGCTGTGAAGTCACAGAAGCATGGATTGGCATGGCCAAATTGGATGACTGTAGAAAAGGATATAGTTGGAGAGCCAAATGCAATAGATAGAAAGCACTCTTGGCCACTAAACCGACCAGATTCTCAGTGCTCAAAAGCTCACCCTGCATAATACAAAGACTAATTCTCAGTAATCTTACTGATTTTCCAAAATGAACAAAACAAACCAGTCAATTCTCACATGCTCAAAGCTTCAATAGTGAGACTGGGAGATTTTGATGGCATTCTTTCATACTGTCTGCAAGGAGCCAGAAATGTAGAAAAGAACAAAATAGACAATCAGGAATGCAAAAAGAACATGAGACAGAGGAGAGCTTCACTCTTGGGTGTGTTACATTTCTGAAGTACACCCCACCAGTGTTCCCGCTACGCTGAGTTAGTGTGAGCTAGCTCACAGTTTTTTAGCCTCCAGCTCATACATTTTTGTTTTAACCCAGGAAAGATGGTCTCAGAGCAAGCTAGTTTATGCAGCAGCCAAACGGCTCGCTCACAACTTTAATACCAGTAGCTCACAAAATAGAATCTTTGCTCACAAGACTCCACAGCTTAGAGGGAACCATGCACCCCACCATCTTGACGATGCCATGTTAAAATGATATCCAATCACAGGAGAGCCAGTTTGGTGTAGTGGTTAAGTGCGCGGACTGTGATCTGGGAGAACCGGGTTTGATTCCCCACTCCTCCATTTGCACCTGGCTGGATGACCTTGGGCAAGCCATAGTTCTGACAAGAGCTGTTCTTGAAAAAGAGCAGTTTCTGTCAAGAGCTCTCTCAGCCCCACCTACCTCACAGGGTGTCTGTTGTGGGGAGGGGAAGGAGTTTGTAAGCCACTCTGAGACACCTTTGGGTTGTGAAGGGTGGGGTATAAATCAAATTTCTTATTATTATTATTAGGGTAGGCCCTTAGGACCTTCCAGAAGTCTCTAGAAAGTTCTGAGCAAATGGAATGTCAGTAACTGAGTCAACCATCAATACTTTGCCAGCTAATTCCATCATACTGCCCACCCCTGTTCAGGCTCTGATAATGCTTTCGGACCATGATCAGTGATACGTCCCCTGGGATGGAAACCCTTCTCTTCAGCCAGTCCAAGACACACCCATATTTCCTTATTTGGGAAATATTTCTCACCAGCTGTGGGCACTCCCACCTCACCCAGGCATCATCACCATTTGATTCTAATCAAACCTCTGAACATCAATATCATAGTCTTGTTAAGCCCCTAAAATTAGTCGCCAGGGACTTTGCACGTGCCAAGAAAACTCTCTCTTGGGTCCTTGTAAAATCCATGGAGCAGATGAGATTTCACAGGGAAGGCAAAAAGCAGTTGAACTGCCAGCCACGCCAACACCCAACACTGCTAGCTGAAGAGCATCATCTGTGTGTATCTATGGTACTCAAGGGAGAGGGGATGTCTTGCAAGGTATCCCCTTTATCGCATTACATTCAGTGGCTTCGTAGACCAGTGGTGGCAAACCTTTGGCATGGGTGCCAGAGGTGGCACTCAGAGCCCTCTCTGTGGGCACGCGTGCCATCGCCCCAGCCTGGCCCAGACCATCATTAAAGTGTCAAATTCTCTGCCAAATAATTTTAAGGAAATGAAAGCATTTGGGATTTCTTCCCTTACTTTGTTTGGATCATGTTAATGTATGAGTTGTTTTTTCTAAAGTAAAACCTCAGTATTCAGGTTAAATTGCCGTGTTGGCACTTTGTGATAAATAAGTGGGTTTTGGGTCGCAGTTTGGGCACTCGGCCTCTAAAAGGTTCGCCATCACTGTCCTAGACACTAGCAGTCCTTCCTCTGTAGCCTGGGATGGGATGGTGCTGGAGCTCCATTGGCAGCGCACCTCCCTCTGCGTCTACAGTGGCGCTGGTGATAAATGCAAACGGGAGAATCCTCGTTGTGTGGCTGTAGTCCAAGTTGCAAATCTAGCTCCATGAGGAAAACACAGCTCGGGTGGGGAGAGGGTAGGAGAAAAGGTTTGGTTCCCAGTAATGTGTACTTAACATGCTCTAGGACTCCCGGATGCTGTACGAAGCAACTGAGAACGAAGAGGTTGGGAAGTTTCTGAAGATGGCAACCATGGAGAAGGCAGCAAGGGGAGAGATCGCTATCTGAAGAGGGGACGCCACCCAGTCCTGTGTCCGTTGCCTTAGATAAAACCTTGCATGCAGAAGAGAGTCACCTCAAGCACAAAAGAAAAAAAAAGCACTTCACCACACAAACAACCTCCAGGTCACCCCATGCGCTTCTTGTGTGGCGTTTGGCACTGAATGCAGCGCTGCTTTCAAAGATCCTTTCCATGAAATGAAGTTCAGCACAGTCTTCTTCAGTGGCTGACTGGGAGGTTGCTGTATTGGAACTATTTTTTTAAAAAAAGAAAACATTGAAGATGGGAATATTTTTGCTCTTGTAGAATATTAATAAAAAGCCAATGTTAATAAAGGGTATTTTTTGCCTGCAGGTTATAGTTCGTCATCCATTCAGAGGTATTGCTTAGGACAGTGCATAAAAAGCGTTCAGAAAAGAGAGTGTTATTTTATGATCAGGTTGGGAGGGACACAAAATTTGATCCAGAGTCTGATATTTTCAGGTAAGCCAAGAAAGGACTTAAGGGTGTGTGGAGTTTGGACAGAAGAGAGCTCTGCTAGGTGCCCCGTTAGATGGTCCTATTTCAGGACAGCAAGAGGCTGCTGTGTGTTTAGCCTGGCATCCACAGGGCTATGAGCTCCATTCAGACTTCATGCTTAACCATGGTTATAGAAGCTTAGCTTAAGCTATGTGCCGAAGCTGGCTCACTCATTGGAAACCAAGGTTTGAAGAGAGTTTGCAAACAGCAGTTTGAGATGCTTCAACTGAGGAATCATAGTTATGGCCATTGCTTTGCCTCCCGAAGTCCCTGCCCCAGAGAAATAGGAGCGCCCAGTGGATCCAAAATGAAAGCAGACAAGCAGCTCTGAACCACTGAAATTACGGCTAGAGCAAAGCATTGCTTGGCATGATGCTTGAACTCTTGTTCAAGAGCATGAATATACAAGATCCATCGCCAACAAGATTCTGCAGAAAGTGCTTGCTGCTGGGTAGACGATGTTTCATTGTTGCTTCCATCATCTTGGGATGGAGTCTCTCTTCAGTGCTATTTTTTTAAAGTGAGACGAACTCATGAGAGCTGTGAACTTTGGCTTTGGTTTTCACCAGAAATGTATTTCCTCCCCTTAGAGGCTGAACAGCAGTTTTGGAAATACAATCTTACCTGACCAAAACAGAGGGTACGCAGAAATAGAAAAGCATCAGTGATCTCACACATGACAAAGGGTGGCAAGTGTGACCTGTCACACATTCCACCCACCTCCTCACCATCTCATGAAATGTGCCCATCCCCAGCAACCCCAACCTGTATTTTCACATGGAACAGAAGTTGTGTATAAATTAGTTCTATTGTTAACTCTCGTGATCAGAGAATGGGGAAAGAAGATTAGATTTTAATGGGAGGTACAATAAACTATTGTGCAACGTGCATTTGCCCCAACCAAGTTTGTGCTGGAAGAGTAGATGTAATGTGCAGTGATGGGAATGGAGAGGCTCTCATGCACACATCAGACTGGTCTCGTCCTAAAGCTAAAACTAGCCAATATTGCAAATTTTTGCATACTGGAAAAAAACTGGATCATTGCTCTTCAACTGCTGGGTCACGACCTACAACTGGGCTATGCGCAGACCTATGGTAGGTCAAAGAATTCCACAGCCATCTTGGGTTGCAGGGAAGACACACCTAGGTAGACTTAAAAAGATATGAAGTAATTAGACTTTGCCACCTGCTCATTGTCAAGGAACTGTTTATTTAGTATTAATAGAAGTACCGGGATAAAAGAAGAGAGTACCATAAGAGTGAGCAAAGCTCTGGTGTATCATACTACAAAGCTAGGATGGTCTTATAAAGTACTATTCCTGTTCTGACACACGTAGTGCATCACTTCCTTATAGTCTCACATCATGTGTCTTACTTTGGAGGTGTGACCCAGCTTTGCATGAAGAAGTTCCCACGTTCAACATTTGACATCTCTAAACTATCTCCGCAGATGTTTGGGGGATGTCTTTGTCTGCTTGAGACCTGCTGCCCGTCAGAGCAGGCAGTACTGATCAGAAAAGTCCAAGGGTCTGACTTGGGATAAAGCTCTCAGGCTATAAGTTTGGAAAGGCTGAAGACCACTGCCCCAGAAAAGCACGGAAGTACTGCAGTGGCTCAAGTGGTTAAGACGCTGAACTGCAGGCTGTGGAAGGTCAGTAGTTCAGCAGTTCGAGACCCAGCTCCCGTCTCTGGTCCCAGCTCCTGCCAACCTAGTAGTTCGAAAGCAAGAAATTGCAAGTAGATAAACAGGTACCACTTCGGTGGGAAGGTAACAGCGTTCTGTGCGCCTTGGTGTTTAGTCATGCCAGCCACATGACCACGGAAATGTCTTCGGACAGCGCTGGCTCTTCGGTTTGGAAACAGAGATGAGCACCGCAACCCTAGAGTCGGATTCGACTGGCTTTCGAGCAAGGGAACCTTTACCTTTACTGCAGGTTACAGACAGAAAACAAAACACAAATCAAGCTCGGGTGCATGCCAAATAGAAACCTTTATTCTTATTTGCACCTCACATGAAATAACACAATGGACATTAGAGGCAGATGTGCAGCTTGTGTTACAGAAGGTTGAAAATGTGGGTTGTGTGGTTTCGTTTGATTCTCAGGATTAAGGCTAACTTAAACAGAAAGACCCAAAGCAACAACCTGTAATAAATCTGAGATGCTAGCGAAATGTTTATGTAAAAATGAGGGAAGTCAAAAACATCTTGTGATTAGGGATTTGACAATTCAGAACCTGGAAGGATCACTGGGAATGTAAAAAAACCCCACTCAGCCAACCATTAAGAGCAACAATTAAGGCTATGAAAAGAAACAAAACTTTTAGAAGACTTGTCTCGGTTCTTAAAAACAAAAAACAGGAATTAAAGAAAGGCCAAATGCTGTCTTTGGGGTTAGGCACCCAAAGCATCTGAAGACAATTAATTTGGCAAATCTCAAAAACAGAACAAAGTTTAAGTCTAGTGGCACCTTTAGGATCAACAAAGTTTAAGTCTGGGTATAAGCTTTCGTGCGCATGCATGACCAACATGGCTACCCACCTGAATTGATCAAAAATAACAGTTTAAGGAGTCGGACTCGTCAGATTTGGGGGGGAACCTCAACCCATGAAGGCAGCTGCTCTGTGCCTGGTGCATACCACTTCAGACAGAAGGTGGGACCACGTGGACACTGCATGTTCTTCCGTACCAAAAAAACCCAAAAAAGCAACTCTTTGTATAGAAAACTAGCAAAAGAAGTGTTCTAATCTAGCTTTGCTAATTGCCCTGACATATTTGCCACCTAATGAAAAAGAACTAACCCCTTCTTCCTGAGCCTTAAGGCTGGTGGACCTCCTGATGGCACCTGGTATTTTTGGCCACTGTATGACACGGTGTTTGCCTAGATGGGCCACTGGCCTGATCCAACATGGTTTCTCGTATGTTCATATGCAGACCAACTTTACCACTTTATCAGTTCTCGAGGGTGTAAAGGGTGCAGTAGAACCTGACTAAGAATCATCACTCGCTACTTGGATCTGCAAACCATTAGGATTACAGCTGACATCCAAATTCAGCACTTGGGAAAAGAAAATCTTGCTTCCTTCCATGAATCGCAAAAGCCACTGTAACAGAGGGAATACTTGTCCCACAAAACAAACTAGCTTAATAATTCTGTCTACACCAAGAAGCTGCCGTTCTGTGAGGAGTCTGCAATGGGGAATTGTAAAGTGCCATTCTGTAGATGTTACGATCTTTCAACTGTGGGGGGGAATGCAAAAACTGGGTCATAAAGATACCCTCACACTCTAATTCTCAAGCCAAAGCGGAATGTATTTTCTTCCCTCCCCATTATTACACAGTCCTTGAAGCCTCTTCTCTGCTGGCTGTACATTTGTCCTGAGACAGCGTAGCCTGTTCTGCACTGGCTTCTGAAGAGGGTGTTTTAGTATCCCAGCTCAAGATGGGTAGCCTGGTGTCAGTCTGTCTGCAGCAGTAGAAAAGAGTAAGAGTCCAGCAGCACCTTAAAGGCTAACAAAATTCATGGCAGGGGAGGAGCTTTCGTGAGTCACTCACTGTTCACTTCTTCAGGCTGGAATCTGAAGAAGTGAGCAGTGACTGACGAAAGCTCAGACCCTACTGCAAATGTTGTTAGTCTTAAGGTGCTGCTGGACTCTTACTCTTTTCTATTAGCATCCCAGCTAACTTAAAATTGCTTCATAGATACCTGAACTTCATAATTTACATCTCCAATTCAAGATATATCCATCATCTTGCATTATAGAGAGAGTTTACATGGCATTTGGGATGGAAGCCTAAGCATACTATCACATCTTTTAAAAAAATCCTCAACATCTTCCCAAACAGGGACAGTGTTTTACCAGGGACATACCAGAAAATATAGACTGGCCTTGGTGATGAGAGAGAGTTGGAGCTCCCCAATCAGCAAGGAACGTCATGCATTACACGACATAGCAGGAAGCAGGTAAACCAACGGCTTGAGCATCCATCCTCTGCCTTGCTGATAAGACTGTCCCACCAAGATCCTTGTGCATTTCCCAGTAGGATTGCCCCCCGTTTGCAATATGGGCAGGCACGGACAGCCGAGAATCTAGCAGAGACAGAAATCGGTGACGTGTTATAAGGGACCATCCTAACCCAATCAAAACCACCACAACAGGACCTTCTGATAGAAGATTTGGCTGCTACGGGGGAAAGCCAGTTGGTAATGTACATGGTCTATTGAGGTTCCCAATTCTAGAATTCCAGGAGTGAGTGATGCATATAGAGTAATCCTAATCAAGGGCCAAGTTTTACTCTCAGTACATTTTGTGCTGAAGTAGACTAACGTAGCTACCCCCTCTGGAATGGGTTTCAAGGTTTTCAAAAATACTTCAACTCAAGATACAGCTGCTGCTTTGGGTTGTTAAGAGAACGTTCATGTTTGAAATCAAAAACCATTTTCAATCAAAAGGAAATGAAAATACAAAAGGCAAGCAGGAATCATATTTGCAAACCATATTTAAACTGATTTATTCCAACGATACAGCAAAAGTTAACAGATAAGGCAATCTCACCTTTTTTTGTTGTTGTTATAAAACAGGACAGTGAAGAGAGAGATTAGCAAAGTCCTTCGATGTCACTGTCCTGGGAATTCCCAAAATTGCTTTCTGAGTTTTGTACTTTTGCTTTGAGATGGTCAAGCTGCCTGTGTTAGAACGGCTGGCAACTGGGAGCAGTTTTATGCTTCCGACTTGTTCCCCTGCCTCTGACATATTGTTGTTTGGGAGAAGCCGTACTATCTCAGGAGGAGAGTCCAGACAGTATGCTTAATTTAAAATTTTAATCTTTCACGGCAGATACAAAAACACAGCCAGCCATTCACTGGACGTTCGTCAGTTACAAAGAGAGGGGCTTTCATTCCAAATTTAGCAAGGCCTTTCCCCCAGTGCTGATTCTATTCTGATCTGGTTTGCCAAGCTGTGGTTGAGAGGCAAAGAGTAGCCACAGCAGCCCAATTTAGATGTTACAGAAACGTGTTGCGACGTGGAGAAGAGAATCTTACGTGGCCAAGAGAAGACAAGGGAGTGCATGATCTGATCCAAACTGAGTGCGCTTAAGCATGTCCTTAGAGATGCCAAGGCCCGTATATACAGAAACCATGTAGCACGAACCGGCCCAGAAATTACCCTGTTTCTGATCCTGGTAGATTAAAGCAGTTGTAAATTAGGATAGTCAACTACTGAGAATTTTTTAAAAAGTGCAAAAGATTATACAAAATCTCTGGCAGAAAGCACAAGTCAACTGGAAAAGTTACTCCTCTAGCTTCCCCTCTTTTCAAAGCACAGGGAATGAACTCCTCGAGCTCATCAGTTAAGAAAAAGTACTGCTAAGATGACCAGAGATCACTTACGTTTCTGAAAGATAGCCCAACACTCAAAAGTGCTTTTGCAGAAATTCTGGTCAGAGCACCGAAATGCACTGTTTTTTGAAGAAAGGGAAATATAACTAATGCTCCGTGTGACTGCAGCCTAGAATGGGTAAGTGGATCAGAGACTCTTTCTTCTAGCCCATATGCAGAAGGATAAGCTGGTAGCAAACATCAAATACACTAAGTGGATCAGAGACTCTTTCTTCCAGCCCATATGCAGAAGTTCAGTTTTGCGAGGGTGCTTGCCAGCAGGCAAAAGGGTGGTTTGGAAGAGGGCATCACCAGATCAGACCCTTTGGGTTCAGCCCTGCTCTTGCTATCAGCCCCCTCCAATTGACATGACATCAAGACACTACTTCAAGAGGACAGCAGCCTTTGATATTACTTTTTAATGAGAAGCCTGGAGGTACTGAAACAATATGGTATTTTACAAGATAAGCCAAGTGCTGAAGGCAGTGTGTGGTGGATCTGCAGAACCCGTCTTGACGATTTTCAGACGGTGGCCCCTGTTCTTGATCCCTCTGTTCCCGTACAGCTGCCAAACTGTACAAGTTTCATTATTTGGAATGACTAGGACCTCTGATTTCATCCTGCTTTCCAAAGTCTAAACAAAGAAAAGTTTGTACAATGGAATGGAGCTTGCCCACACTGTTACATGGGAAGTTTTAGGACTTGCAGAAATAAGGACTACTGCTGTGTCGTTGGTGGGGTTTTTTTTGGGGGGGGGGGGCTATACCACCATCTAGTCACTGATGCCAATACCATCAAGGCAGCAGTAAAACCTAACACAAATTGGTGCATTTGGGTCCTGCAAAGACAGTTAAGTAGAGCAGTGACTCACTGTCTGTGAAATTCCCCCGCATTGGTCAATTCAGTGAAAATCTCAGAACCACAAAACTACAACACAAAAAAAACCAACCCAGAAATACCCTAATTTCAGCAAGCGATTATGACCATCACTATGTTACATTATAGGGTTTTTTATGCAGAAAAAGTCACAATTTAAAAGACATCAACATTTCCCCCCCAATTATCTTTGAGGCAGTTCAGGCACTGGGGTTTCTTCACCGAAACTTTTGCTCCCCACCCCCTTATAAACAGTTGGATCTATAGTTATACATTTGCATTATTAATAGCAAAATATGGTGTTTACAAAAAAAATGCAATTGACAAAGTATGTTATACTGGCTGGGGGGGGGGGAATCAAAAGATTTCTTATTGGTCCCACTGTCTTCAGCTCACGTTTGCAAGTTTTGTCTTGGCGCTGTATTTTATGCTGTGCACAGCAATCGGCATTTGAGGGAAAACAAGGAAACTATTTCCCGTTTTTCTTGAAGCATGGACAATTTTGCCATTGTAGAAAAAGCTGTGGAAGTTTCCCTTTGCAGAATATTTAAGGCTCTAGGCAGGGAGGGGCAGGGAGTGGGGAAATCACGCTTCTTGCTTGGCAAGGGCTTCCGCTTCCTGAAACAAAGAACATCAACACCATCAACCAATAAAATCTTTGGAGCAAAACGGGAACAGCTTGGATGCGTGCTGCTGGAGAGGAAAGGAAAAACTGGGGCAAAACCTAATCGAACAACAAAGCCACCAATGCAGAACCTCTGGCAATCTCCACTATTGTGAAAAGGCCCTTGGAGATACTGTGTTCAAGAAAAGGAAGAAGATATACCCCGCCCTTCACTCGGAGTCTCAGAGCGGCTTACAAACTCCTTTCCCTTCCCCTCCCCACAACAGACGCCCTGTGAGGTGGGTGGGGCTGAGAGAGCTCTTGACAGAAACTGCTCTTTTTCAAGAACAGCTCTTGTCAGAACTATGGCTTGCCCAAGGTCATCCAGCAGGTGCAAGTGGAGGATTGGGGAATCAAACCCGGTTCTCCCAGATTAGAGTCCGCGCAAGGGGAAAGTTGGGCTGCATAGAAGATTTGAGGCCAGTAGCACCTTAAACACCAATTCGACATCCAAAGTATAAGCTTTAGAGCAGGGGTGTCAAACATACGGCCCAGGGGTCAGAAGCAATGCTCCCTCTAAGCTGTGGAGTCCTGTGAGAAAAAATTCTACTTTGTGAGCCACTGCCATTAAAGTTGTGAGTCGGTGATTTGGCTACTGCATAAATTAGTTTGCTCTGGAGCCATCCTTCCAGAGCTAAGACAAAAAATGTGTGAGCTGGAGGCTAAAAAAACTGTGAGCTAGCTCACACTAACTCAGCTTAGAAGGAACACTGGTCAGAAGCAGCCTGTCCAGGGCTTTCATCGGACCCACAAGCAACTGGTGCGAAGAAGGAAGGGGGCCGCTTGGGCGGGGGATGGAGTGGGCACAGGTGGCGAGGTGTGTATGGTCAGAGCTGTCAAGAAATAGAAAGGGAATGGCTAAGGCTTGTTTTAGGCTGATCGTCTGAGGTAAAACAGTGCGGAGGGAATGGCAGCGGAGGCAGAAACAGAGGAGGTGTGGATTTCCCCCCTCCCGCCTCCTCTGACTGCACCTCAGCAAGGATTGGCAAAGCCACTACATGGGGGGGGCGGAGCCGTGTGGTTGGCGCTGCCACGGCTGCACCGACCAGCCTCATGTTGTTTCAAATGCAGACTACGAAGGGGGTTGGCAAGACCCGGTGCACGGAATGATGGTTCGCTGATGGGGATGGGGCCAGTGGGGGAGAGGAGGAGGAGGAGGGCCAGCATATGGATTGGGACGCAACTGGACTGTCTTCTGCATGCCGTTCTGAGGGGGAAAATGTCCCGGCCTTGAAAGTGAGTGGAGGAGTGAATGGGAAACAGGGCTACCGCACATCTGAACAGTGCTGGGAGGCAGAGTGAGTGTTGGGGTGGGTGGGGGATGGCAAACTCCCTTCTCTTCCCCCTCCTGTTCTCACCCATGAGGAGAAAGGGGTCGTGGGAGGACAAAAAGCACCTCCTGGAGGTTTCGGAAACAGCCTCTCCCTCAGGCCTTCCCTCAGCCCCACCGCTTCTATGGGAAATGCAGGAGGGGTGAGAACTGGGGGTGGGGGGATCGGAGGACCCTGGTTCAGACACACACACCCCACTTCCTGAGCCAGGACCCTGTTGTCTGGGTCACCCGGGGCCAGTTGCTCAGCCTGGCCCACCTCACAGGGTGGTTGTTGTTGGTGGGGATGGGGCAGTGGAGGGGGACATCCGGTGTGCCTCGCCGAGATCCTCAGATGCTGGACGAGGGCACAGACGGCACGGCCCGACAAAGTAACATTTATGTCGGATCCGGCCCTCAATTCCGACACCGCCGTTTTAGAGAGTCAAAGCCCCTTTCGTCGGATACCAGATATCTGACAAAGGCAGTTCTGACTCCCAAGGCCTCAGCCAGCACTTGAACAGCGGGTGTGTTGGGCAATTTGGGCTTGAAGGGGACCCAAAAGGTGGCGGGTGTAAAATGATCCTTACTGGAACAGACTAAGATCCCTCTCGCCCCAGCATTCCCCAGGGTGGCCAAGCAGCCGTCTTTGGGCAGAGGGGTCTAAGCACCCCACTGTTGTCCTCCAAAAACTCAGTGGACTGCCTCTGGACACGGAGGTTCTATTTCGCCACTACGGCAAATAGCCATGGACGAACCTACCTCCTTTCAATGTATCTGATGGAAAACATCTGTATCTCCTAGCTCACTGGGCTGGTGTGAGAACACATCAGTGCTGAAGTGGCATTCTGGGCACGTTCAAAAATAATTCCGCACTGTCTCAGGATTCATATTCAAATTTTTGGGATCCTGAACATTTCAGAATTTGGCTGATTCATTTCCCCTCGGAAGGTCTGACGACTGCGAGAGAAGCAATTATCAGCTTGTTGAATTTGGTGGTGGCGGTGGTGGGAATCCAGTGGCTCCGAAATGCTAACATGCTTGTTTTAGGCGAACGCCTGACTAGAGAGCAAGTCTTGTCGCTTCCTTTCAAAATCAAGGAATAGTTTCCCCAGTTTTCTGGTTTGCCACAGCAACGTAACTGGCTGAGACAGTTCTATAAAACAGTTCTATAAAACAGGTCCAACCTGGGGCAACACTGATCACAAAAGACAGCCCAGACTTCCGTCTTCAAAGGGCAAGCACAGATTTCTTTGCAATAGGTTCATCTTTAAAAGAAGCAGAGGTCATTTCGGGAGGGGATCGCGGGGGATCGCAGTCCCCCCGGGTGAGGTACGGGGGGCGGGGCATATGACGAAGCCCCGCCCCCTGCTTCCGGCCGCCCCGCTTCCGGCCCTCATTCAGCCAGGAGGAGGCAGGAGAAGAGGGAGGGTAAGTTGCTTCCTCCCTGCCTCTCCCCACCCCTGCCTGCCTGGGGCCAGGGAGGGCCTTCGCGGGGCTTCCTTGCACTCCCGCCGGCCTTGCAGGTCCACCGCCAGGCCCCTCATGGGGCTCAGCAGTGGACCTGCAAGGCCGCCACCGGCAGCCGGGACCGTTGGGGGCGAGGCGTGTGGCCTTATGACACACTTCCAGTGATGTCGGGGTGTGTGGCATATGCTAATGAGTTATGCTAATGAGTTCCCCTAGCTCTTTTTCTACGAAACGACCCCTGAAAAGAAGTACTACCAAGTTAAAAAAAATAAATAAATCCCCCCCCTCATTTTTTTCCTGATTATAAATTTAGCGTTTACTCTGAGCCTTGCAAGCCAGTGCAGGGTTCTGCCTTTTGAACCATCCTACAGTCCCGCACGGATTACAGCAGTCAAGGTCTGCCAGCAAAGTTCGGATACCTCCCCACTGCCGGCAAACAACTGCGAGAACCTGACTTCGAGTCACAGAGATTAAATACCAAATGAGAACAAGCACATACCTTTGAACCAGGGGGAGCTGTCAGGCCTAAGAAAGCGTAGACGGCGTTGTTTTCTCGAGCTTCAAAGAAAGCTTCGTAATCCTTCGAGACAGACAGAAAGCACGAAACATTAGACAACTCTGTCCAGTGCAATGTCCTGGAATTTGGGAAGTGTCAGTGGGGGAGGGAAGATAACTGGGTTGGGGGGGGGGACCAAGAAGCATTATCTACACCAGTGATGGCGAACCTTTTAGAGACCGAGTGCCCAAACTGCGACCCGAAACCCACTTATTTATCGCAAAGTGCCAACACGGCAATTTAACCTGAATACTGAGGTTTTACTTTAGAAAAAACAACTCGTATATTAACTTAAGATGATCCAAACAAAGTAAGGAAAGCAATCCCAAATGCTTTCATTGACTTAAAATTATTTGGCAAAGAATTCGACACTTTAATGATGGTCTGGGCCTGGCTGGGGTGATGGCACGCGTGCCCACAGAGAGGGCTCTGAGTGGCACCTCTGGCATCTGTGTCATACGTTCGCCACCACTGATCTACACTATGTTGGTCTTAAGAGCCTTTGACAAAGCCTGTGACAGGTGGGACGAAGAGAAGAAGAAGAAAAAGAGACGGGATTTATACCCTGCCCTTCACTCCGAGTCTCAGAGTGGCTTACAATCTCCTTTCCCTTCCCCTCCCCACAACAGATGCCCTGTGAGGTAGACGCGGCTGAGAGAGATATATCTTACGGCAGGAGTCCCGAACATGGGGTCCATGGGTGCCATGGTGCCCACCAACTAGGACTGGCAGGACCCTCTGCATACTGGCAGGAGTGGGAGGCAGAGTTCCCTCTAAGCTGAGTTAGTGTGAGCTAGCTCACAGTTTTTAGCCTCCGGCTCACACATTTTTGTCTTAGCTCAGGAAGGGTGGCTCCAGAGCCAACTGAGTTATGCAGTAGCCAAATGGCTCGCTCACAACTTTAATGCCAGTCGCTCACGAAGTAGAATTGTTGCTCTCAAGACTCCACAGCTTAGAGGGAACATTGGTGGGAGGGGACGGTTTCCATTCCCAGGTTGGGAAACTCCTGGAGAGTCTGGGGAGGGGAGGGACCGCAGCATGCTACAATGCCGAAGAGCCCACCCTCCGAAGCATCCATTTCTTCCAGGTGAATTGACCTCTGTAGTCTGGCAATGAGCTATAATTCTGGGGGATCCCCAGGTCCCACCTGGAGGCTGACATCTCTACTGCTAACACCTCTCCTGGCACCCGGCTAGTACTTTAAGAGAGTGGGTGGGGCCAGGTGAAGCTTTTGCCCAGCAAGGTTCCTGATTAGCCATGCCGATTTTTAAAAACATTGCTTTGGCGGTGGCGGCCACCACAACACAAGGATGGTTCACTGGGTGACTGAAAGGAAGCCACAGCAGCCATTTTATGGCTGACTCCACCTCCTGTGACAGTCAGCCATTTTGTGACTGTGCCCAGCACATTGTGTCAGAACAACAAAGGTACCCGCAGGTTCAGAGGAGCCACTGTTCCCTCTAAGCTGAGTTAGTGTGAGCTAGCTCGCAGTTTTTTAGCCTCCGGCTCACACATTTTTGTCTTAGCTCAGGAAGGGATGGCTCCGGAGCAAATTAATTGATGCAGGAGCCGAATTGCTCGCTCACAACTTTAATGCCAGCAGCTCACAAAGTAGAATTTTTGCTCACAAGACTCCACAGATTAGAGGGAACATTGCCAGGGGGACCCTCCCCCCCTGTCTTAGGGCCTATGATTTTTAACTCATTCATTTAAGCATTTCTCTGCTGGTTTTCTCCCTGAAGTGGCTTACAGAAATGTTGACATTGAAACGACAGAATTTTAATAAGCAAAATGAATGAAAACAAAATATACACTGAGTGGGGGTGGGTGGGTTTTGGCATTTTTTATGTGCTTGCGTGCCAGTGTTCCCTCTAAGCTGAGCTAGTGTGAGCTAGCTCAGTTTTTTAGCCTCCGGCTCACACATTTTTGTCTTCGCCCAGGAAGGAGGGCTCCAGAGCAGGCTGGTTTATGCAGTAGCCAAATCGCTGGCTCACAACTTTCATGCCGGCAGCTCACAAAGCAGAATTGCTGCTCATGAGACTCCACAGCTTAGAGGGAGCATTGGTGTGCGCGCGTGTGAGTGTGTGTGTGCACCTGGAAGTCATGGTGACCTCTGGTGACTGACTCCTACTGGGGGCCTGGAGGATATTCAGAGAGGTGGCTGGATAAAGCCTGCCCCCACCTCCTGACTGCGGTTATTCCAAGGAGGTCTCCCTTCCCAGTACTTGTCAGAGTCGACCTTGCTTAGCTTCCGAGATCTGAGGAGATCAGGCTTGCCTGGGCTATCGAGATCAGGGCCACAATGAGTGGATCTGGACTCACTGGGATGGCTAACGCAAGCTCCAGACTGCGAGCCGGGGGCTAAGAGACCCTCGACTTGTGTCTCTGGCCCCACCCGGGGGGAGTGCCTGCAAGTGGAGGAGAAGGCAGGCTCCCACCAGTGTTCCCTCTAAGCTGAGTTAGTGTGAGCTAGCTCACAGTTCTTTTAGACTCCGGCTCACACATTTTTGCCTTAGCTCAGGAAGGAGGGCTCCAGAGCAGACTAATTTATGCAGTAGCCAAATTGCTCACTCACAACTTGAATGCCAGGAGCTCACAGAGGAGAATTTTTGCTCACAAGATTCTGCAGCTTAGAGGGAACATTGGCTCCCACTCTTCTGCCATCCCACAAACTGTGCAAAACAGAATCCTTCAGGAGGGCTTTTGCAGAAAGGGAACTGGGCTGTTGCACAACAAGACAGGACAGCACTTGACAAAGAGAACCAGGACTGTCGTCTGTGCATGTATCATTTACTGCCTGAGCTATCCTCCTAGCATACTTTGGTCCCATTCTGAGGAGACAAGCGTCCCTGGAAAAGACAGTAACGCTGGGAAAAGCGGAAGACCCAACCTGAGATGGATGGACTCAATCCAGGAAGTCTCGGCCCTCCCTTTGCGAGACATGAGCAAGGCTGTTAACAACCGGACATTTGGAGGTAATTAATTCTATGGCAGCCATAAGTCAGAAGCGACCGGACTTCACTTAACGCTCACATCCTGGCTCTTATTTTCTACTTCTGCCATTCCACGGTCCCCTTTGTTTGACGCGTCACATCTGATCCTTTTGTGTGTGTGTGGCACACTTCCTCATTTACTGACCTTAGTCCTGTTCAGTGCTCCCTCTAAGCTGAGTTGTTGCGAGCTAGCTCACAGTTTTTTTAGTCTCCAGCTCACAGATTTTTGCCTTAGCTCAGGAAGGAGGACCTCAAAGCAAACTAATTTGTGCAGCAACCAAATGGCTCGCTCACAACTTTAATGCCAGGAGCTCACAAAGTAGAATTTGTGCTCACAAGACTCCACAGCTTAGAGGGAACATTGGTCCTATTGCACTGCTTATTGCATGCTGTCTGACTGCACTGACTGACACTGTGTGATCCGCCCGGGCTCTCTGTGAGAAGGTGGACTATATACAAAGGAAATAAATAAAAACGCAGCTGAGATGGCATTCGGCTACTGCTAGTTCCGGGTGCACACGTTCTTTTCACGTGTTCCTATATAATACAAGGGCCTGGGGGTGAGGAGGAGCTTGCTTTAATAGAAAAGACACATGCAGGGGAAAAGTTCTGAACGCCCACACTGCACCTCCCCCGGGATGAGGTGAGCATCTGAATACAGAGTGATACCAACTGGCCCATCTCGTGCTCATCTTCTGCCTGGCAGCCGTGCCCCAAGAAGTCTTTCCTGCTATCCTAGATCCTGTAGTCGGAGATGCTGGGGACAGAACTCAGGACCTTCTTCACGAAACGCAGGCACTCGACCCTTCGGCCATGGGCTCGCTTTTTGGATTGGGAAGGGACCACACACCCCTTTTTCTCCCCTGCTCTGCTCGTACTTTGATACGAGACCACGAAGGAAGACTGGGGTTGCTGCTTGGAGGAAAGCAATGGTAACCCACATCTACTCATCTCTTGCCTGGAATGCCTGTGGGTGGGGTCGCCGTGGGTGGGGTTGAAAGCCTCCAGGGGGCACCCTCTCCCACTATCACACCTGATCCCCAGACAACCAAGATCCGCTCCCCTGGAGAAAATGGCTGCTTTGAAGGGTGGACTCTGTGGCATTGTGCCCTGCTGAGGCCCCGCCCTCCCGAGACTCCACCCACAAATCTCCAGGTGTTTTCCAACCCAGAGCTGGCAACTGTAGCCAAGAGCCTGCAGTGACTTGACAACACACTCTTCTTCTTTTCCCCCAGGTGAATGGGATGGAATGGGTGAATGATTCCTGTCTCGCTCAGCCTTTAGGGTGTGCCTCTTCCTCACAGGAATCTACCTGATTATCATTTCTGAGTGCTTAGCACTGTGTCTCCTCAACAGGGACACTCACGGCACAGAGGAAGGGCCTTTTTGGTGAAGGCCCCAAGGTTGTGGAAGGGATCTTCCTCAGGAAGTTCAGGAACACTTCAAGCACTGGCCTTCTGAAAGCAGCGCAACACCCACTCGGCCGGCAAGGCTTTTGCCTAGCCCACCTGTAGCATATCTCAGTTTATTTTGAGGCTGCGGGAAGACCATTCAAGCCTGCCACAGGGAAAGCTGAAGATCATACACTGCATTTGCAAGTGTAATTTATTTTGGACTTAATTATGCTACAGGGTTTTTTTTAATGTAAGAATATTTTTTTTAAATGTGATTATATAAATAACAAAGCTCTCTGTGTAACTGATAAAAAGTGAGCTCACTGAATAAGCAAGCCAAGTGCAAGGGTAAATGTGCATTTAGTCTCCATAAGATGCCCACTTCTACATTGCCTCAAGGAGAGTGCAAGAGCATACACAGTGAATGCAAGTATAACGTATTTTTGGGCACAGAAAAAAGGAAGGAAGAAATAAACACCTAATGATATCTTGGAGGGAAAAACAGGACAAAAAGATACCGCACAGTGCATACATCCTGTTGCCAATAAATATGCAGTGTACATTTTAAAGTAACATACCACATATATTTCCAACCTAAATTCAAACTCTGTGTTTGTAACATGGCCTCCAAATTCAG